TTATACTTTATAATGAATTATCATCGTCATTGGTGTCTGTTCTAGGGACGTCGTGATTAACCGATTTTACGATAACCGCAGTTTCATAACCGTAATTGTAAAAACTACGATATCTAACTATGGTTTCCTGCCGCTCGCGAGTCACGTGATTTGTGTGCGCGAGCCACTGAAACGTTAGTTGAGAAGAAGGAACTGACTCAACGGCCTCATTTCCACCAACACTGGACAAACAAGTCAATCGGAGGAGTTCACAGCGAGAGGAGAAATCCTTGTTTGCTTTCGGGTTCTGACCAGAGGCTCACACATCTCTCTCTCTCTCTCCCTCTCTCTCTCTCTCTCTCTCTCATACTGTAGGTAGTAGTAAAATCAACACCCTTCACAATAAAAGTCTCATTCAGATAGGCTGCTTATGATGACAGGAAACACAAATTCACTGACCAACCTTCCACAATAAGGCAACTAAATAAAAATGGCTTAGATAAATTACTTTTAAATAGCCAAATGGGTATTGTTGATGATAATAATAAATATTGTAGTTCATTAGCTTTATATTCATTCTATAGTGTTTGTTGTGTCTTTTTCCTTCTACAGTATCAATAATAGTGAAACCGTGAACTTTCCTCTGACAATAATAACGGCACCAACATTTCATATCGTGACATCCCTTGTCGACCTCTTTTTTCATCCTGAATTATCTGTGTTCCTCCGGCTTCACGTGCATCATGTGTCAAAACGTCATCAACGTGCGTCCGCTTCGCTCGCTTGAAATGTTCTGTTGTTCCGTCGTTGCCAAAAGTCTCAGTTTCCATTTGTCCAGATCAAAAACCAAACCCTGGAGTTTTCAAACTAAAGCGGGAGCAGCAGCATTTTAAAAATAAAGAGTGTGAATGTAGCTTAGATTTCATGTGTAGAATCAGATTTATACATCTCGATATCAAACAGAAGGATTGTTGAGGTCGGATTATTGGTCTAATTAACAGACTCAACGGAAACAGTCATTGACACAAGTGTCTGTCTCTGTGTCTTCAGTCGTCGTGCACTCAGCAGACCTCGAAGACGTTTCTTTAACCCCCCCACTCTGTCTCTGCTGCTGTGCCTTTCCTCTTGAACCACGTCACTGTGAGCTTGCTCGGCGAGATTCCTTTGGTTTCCCTCGGTGAAAACCTGCCCCGACACTCAGCGCAGCAGCCTGAGGAATGGAGCGGCGGAGGGCGAGGGTGGGGTGAGCAGGCAGCGCTGCCTGCACGAGCCAACAATGGGCCCAGCCAGCTAACTGGTTTGGGGAGATCCAGTGACCTGAGTCAGTCATTGTCTGCAGAGCTGCCACATTAAGAGTAGTTTCAGGTACAGGTGTCTCACAGGCAGGTGAACGTGAGTGAACGTTTAAATTGTTTAAGCTGAGAAGGATCTTAAACTGAAAACCTCCAGTTTGTTCTACAAGAGCAGAAGTGAGAAGTGTTTGTTTACAGCACATCCACACGAGAGAGAACTCTTCTTTGTTGGTGTCTTCTACTAGATGGTAGGGCCGGGTTTAAAAAAAAAAAAAAACATTCTCTGATTTAAATGTTAAATAAATTTTGATTTCACAAGTTACAAACATTCTACCAAATATAACGATCCATCCAAAAGAGCTCTGGATATTTCTCTCTGGTCGAACACACCAGTGCTGCGGTTTTGCTGATGGCCTGGTTTCAAAGCTGAGATTTAAAGCTCTCTAAGCCTCTTTCTGTCTGTGGATCCACGTTGAAACGTTCCTCATCTTTCTCCAAACTACGCTGATGTTTCCCAGGAGCTGCTACAGCAACAGCTTCCCTCTACCAAGAATGTCGTCTTTAGAGCAAAGTGGGAACAGCCAGGCATCAGAATGAAGCTTGTTGGCATCCAGCTCATCGTCGTTGTTCCTCTTTCTCACAGAACTCTGACTGATGCAGATATATACTATATACTATTCAGCTAAACTGGCTCACTTACGAAAAATGTTTATTAATGAGCATTGTCCCTGTAATTTTAAACCAGAAAAGATGAAGACGCAATTATTAAACTTAAAATGTATATTTCATCTCATCCATATCCGATAGACTCTAATGAAACCCAATGTTCCCCCGGGATCAATAAAGTTTTCTTTTTATATATAGTTATTTATAATTGATTTTAAGGAATCGTTGTTCGATGTAGATATATCAGCCCGTCTTTATATTCTAGATATTTTTAACTTGGTAGCGTGAAAGACAAGTGACAAGAGAGAGACCTGTATTGATGCCTCTTGCCGCTGAAACGATGAAGTCGGACTGTCTGCGTGCACGGTAACATCTTTATGGACGACGCTGCCGGTGCACCAGCGATTATTATTAATCATGAAACTGTGGCGGGCCGCCATAGCTCCACCGTTTGAATTGTGTCCGTTGTTTTTCAGGTGTCAGTGTGCGTCGCCCCAGCTGAGTTGGTGAAGTCACCTGACGTTACCCCCCCGCGGAGAGGTGCCAACAGAGGGACAGGATGCCTATTCCTCCCCCTCCTCCCCCTGGACCGCCGCCCCCACCCACCTTCAGTCAGGTCAGTGACCGGACTGAACACGCAGCACGTCACGCAGAGAAGTCTGATCCACCAGCGATAGAAACAGGGAGATGGTGCAGTTCAGTGTTTTAACTACGAGACAAGAGTTGACAGTTTACTGTTTGTCCAGTGAGGGAACCGGTCTCATGATATGATGAGACGTGAGTAGACATCGCACATGATGAGGGACACTTCCTGGTCCTGTCCCTCAGAAACAATCTCCTTCATCAGAACAGTTTGAATCTTCACTATAACACTGTTGACGTGCTTCGTCACATCTACACTTCTGTCCTGGGAGACCAGTCCCTCTCTCACCACTCTCCCTGTGTAGTTTCACATAATTCCACAGTTGGGTTTTTCTTTTTGCCAGGATGTCTCACTTTGTCTTTGTCGCGGTCCTCTACATGTTCTACATGTTATTTAACTGTTACCCCCCCCCCCCCCCCCCGACAGGCGAACACGACTCCTCCCAAACTGAGCTCATCTGAGAATAAAGGCAGAGGAGCGCTGCTGTCCGACATCTGCAAAGGCGCCAAGCTAAAGAAGGTCGGTGTGGTTAATGACCGGAGCGCACCCGTTATAGAGAGTGAGTCACCGCAACCAAACACACACACACACGTGTTAGAAGTGTTTGTCAGTTGACTCTTGTGTTAATGGGATTTTTGATTTTGTTTTATCACCAGAATCAGGAGGAAGTGGCGGGGGAGGAGGAGGTGGAGGTGGAGGTTTTGGAGGCGGCGCCCCAATGGGAATGGGGGGGCTTTTTCAAGGTGGTGTGCCAAAATTACGCCCAGTTGGAGGTAAAAACTTCTTTTGTGTGTTAGACTGATCCAGTGATGCACCAACTTTAACATTGACCTGAGTGATAAACACGTCTGACTAAGAAAACTAAATATGAAAATGTTATTATAATAATAAATAAATGGATCCACAAAAAACAGTTTGAGTCATTTTCATAGAAACATTTGTTGCTTCCATCTTTTCATAGCTTTCATTCATTTTAGAGTCAAAATAATGAATCATGAAAATAACCTGAAGATGATGAAAACAAGTTTGGGAACCAAAATAAAAAACATTTGAGTTCATGCCACTTTAGTCTGTATCGGCCGAATCATTTATTGATCAATCAAGTTAATGATCGGCAAATAATTTCATCATGAAAATCATCATCATAAAACCTGTTAGCGTCGTGTTTCACCTGTCGTCGTCTGAGGTTTTGAAAGTTTTGCTGCTCTGTGTCGTCCCCCCAGATGGATCAGCAGGAGGTTCAGTAGGCAGATCTGCACTGAGGCCCCCGGGGTCCCGGTCCGCGGCCCCTCGCCCCCCAACGGGCCGCTCCACTTCACCCTCCCCAGCCAACAAGCCCTCACCACCCGAGCACCAGCGCTCCCACCGCCCCTCTCTCCCCGACATCTCCCGTCCCTCCAGCAGCAGCGGCTCGTCCACAGGCAGCGGGATGAAGCACAGCACCTCCGCCCCGCCCCCTCCTCCACCCTTCAACAGGGGCGGCCGTGGCAACGCTCCGCCCACCCCCAACCAGAAAGCACCTTCCACATCTTCCTCTCACAGCAGAGAGAAGCCCCTCCCCCCAACGCCCAACAGAGGGCCCACGCCCCCCGGCTCCGTGAAGCCGCCATCTTCCAGCAGACCTCCAACCGGGGGCTCCTCTGCTCCTCCGCCTCCCCCGCCATACAGACCACACTTGTCAGTCTCCAACGGGCCTTCCCACGTAGACGGGGGCGGCGCGCCGGAGCTGCCACAGAGGCACAACTCGCTGCACAAAAAACACACATCAGGAGGCGGCAGCCAAGGACGCAGCCACGCGCCTCCACCTCCTCCCTCTTCATCTCCATCTTCTCAGCCCATCTCCAGACCACCACCACCTGCCAGAGAGCCACCTGGACGCAGAGCAGGTACACCACACGGTACTAATGTGTTTTAACCCATTAAGACCGAAGGCATTGAATAAATTAAATTAAATCTCTTTAAAAGCTCAAACCAAACAACATTGACATAAACTTTATTTCTCGGCCTCTGAGGCAGATAAATCAATATGCATCTGATAACTTAAAGATTTGGCTTTTACTGTAAATTATACAACTCCATCACACAGATTCTTCTTCTTCCCCCTCAAACACGTCTCTCAAGCTGCTTTCTGACACGCACTGAATTCCGGAGATTCTCCGCACTTTCTCTGGAGGAGGGGCATGTGTGAACGCAAATGTCCAAGTGAGAGCCACAGTTCTCCAGACTTCTGATGTTTTCGATTCGGTGCCTTAGGTGTTGATGGGATAAATTATTTTAGATCAACCGACTCCTCCATCAGTTGTTCCAGAACAGGACGAGTGTTGTCTTGCAGTCATATCAACGATATGATGTTTGACTGCACCGTAGATTAAGACGTCCTCGGTCTCTGTCCTCGGCTGCAGGAATGTTCATACACGGGCAGAAGCACGTTTCGACTCGTTATCTCGGAGCGTCCTGCAGTGAGGCCTTGAATTTTTGTCCACACGATCACACGTGTTGCAAAATAGAGCGCGGCTCTGTAAATCGAACAAATAGCCTCCAAGGCAGATGTCTGTCCAGACACTTCACACACTGTGGGTTGAGATTTGCTGTGATACCTGCAGCTGTTGGTGTGTTGGGAAATGTTCCCTCTTATTGCAGCGGCAATATTTCAACACATGGAGCAGACATGTTGCATATTGACTTGTGTGTACAGGCCCAGTTGTGGATGGTGACACACATAAGATTCCTCCGCTCCTTTCAGGCGTGTATCCCAGAAGTTGCTTGCGTGTGCGTGCGTATGGTATGTGTGTGTATGGTGTGTGTGTGTTGACATAGAAAGAAACACTGGAGGGTTTAGGACGCGTCCTCTACAACGTGTAAAACCGATAAACATAAAAACTTTCTGTGCAGAGGACTACAAACTTTCATTTCATAATTTGAATCCAGCGTGAACACAAAACAGGAAGGCACTTGTTAGCTGAGGTTTTGTGTTGTGATTGGACAGCGGAGCGATTCGCCACAAGGCCTCCTGGTTTCTCTACATTCCTGAAGCCTTGTGGAATATTCCAGCATTCCTTTTCACATTCAGCATCTCTGCTTCTCCCCTTACTGCGCTCACAGGATGTTTGATATCTCTTTTATTGTCACTACTTCACTTTATACTCCTCTTTTTAATTTACTGGTGTCGGCAGCAACTGGAAATAATTCCACCGACCACAGTTCATGGCGGTTTCTGTTCCAGATTGAACTTTGACCCACTGGTCAAGCTGCTTTACTGTTGTGTAAAGTTTATTACTGTGACGTGTGGCCACAGACATTAGCTTTGCTTTAAACTAATGATTATTTACATCATTAGATAATCTGTTTATTATTTCATTTGATTCATCAGTTTCTCTATTAATTGGCACGAAGGTTAAAAGTCTGGTGTCTTCTCATATACAGAAAATAAAGATGGCTGACACAGTGGCTCCAAGAAGTGAAGCCAAAGCATCTTGAAGGCCCCCTGGTGGCTGGCTGCTCAATCGCTCATAAATGCACACACTGACTCTGTATAACTTTAAAGTGAAATATCTTTACTGTTTCGTTTCCACCGGTCAGAGAAAATATCTTTTTCAAGATGACACCTTTTCTTCACTTTCTATTTCCTACATATAAAATCAATAATGAACCTGATGAACACAAAAACAATCCACAGATGGAAATAAGTTTGTTGACTGTTTTCTGTGAAAACGGTGAATATTAAATTCAGTGTGTTTGTTGAAGTTGTTTTGTAGGTACTGTGTACTACTAGTGTGTGTGTATGTGTGTGTGTTGTCCACGCAGCTCCCCAGGTACCCCCTCCCGGGTCTCGTAACGGAGGTCGGGACGCGCCTCCGCCACCACCCCCATACCGTGTCAACAGCTCTGCGATCTCGGAGTCCCTCAACCGAGTGGGAAAACCACCTCCTCCCTCCTCCATCTCATCCTCCTCCTCCTCCTCCCGCACCCCGGCCGGACCACCTCCACCCCCACCGCCCATCAGGAACGGCCACTCCAACATCTCCTCTTCCAAGTCCATCATAGGTGAGTGGGGACAGACCAGCATCATCGTATTCCTCCTGCGTATCCGTGGTTTCTCTGTTCACAGACACTGGAGGACATCAACACTGTCACCGTTTCATGAGTATGTGCAGAATGTCTCTCCTTTAAAATCGTCCGTCTCTCTTTCCTTTGTTTTTCTTCCCTCAGATGATTTTGAATCCAAGTTCAACTTCCACCCGATTGAAGACCTTCCACCTCCAGAGGAGTACAGGCACTTCAACAAGGTCTACCCCAGCAAAACCAACAAGGGTACGGCTGCAGCAGCATCATAGTCGGTGTAGACCTGATGGATGTATACATACATGTAGAAATACAACATATCTGATCTTTAGCTACCATTAGCCAGGTGAATCTGTGCATCAGTGGGTGTGGATCTTTACCAGGCGTGTGAAGCCTGTAAGATCTGTCCTTGTGTAACCCCTGTCTCTCTGCCCTCAGCCATGATGAGAGGAGCCCCTCCAGCGCCGCCGGTCGGGAGGTGAACGGGCCTCAGCTCAGGACTTGAACTCTCAGTCAGCCGACTCGGTGGACGGTCAGGAGGGAGTGGTGAAGACGCACTCGAATCACAAACACACTAAACACACACAGATATTCACCAAACATTAAACCACCAGCCAGAAGCACAGTGGCCAAAAAAAGTTAACACTACCACAGCACGCAGGTCTGACACTACTCGGCGGTCACTTTCTCACTTTGCACGAGAGAATAAAAAAACACTCAGACGAGAAGCCGTCATGACTGCGACCACCTCGACTCCTCTGCTGACCGGAAGCAGAAGCCTCTGCTCCACACGACATATCAGGACCAAACTCCCAACGCTTCCCGCTCGGTGCATTCCACCTTTTTTTAAATGCATATTCATGATGACGATGTTGATTTTCATAACTCTGAATTACATCTTTTGTTTATTTAATCCTTT